TTAAATTTTCGAATTTTGTGGAGTACAGGTTTTCAAAGTATGACCTAATGATTCTCTGGATTTCCTCAGAGTCTGTTGTTATGTCCCCCTTTTCATTTCTAATTTTGTTAATTTGCGTGTTCACTCTCTGCTGTTTGGTAAGTTTGGACAAAGGTTTGTCTACCTTGTTGATTTTCTCAAAGAACCAACTCTTCGTTGCGTTGATTCTTTGTATTGTTTTCCTGGTTTCTACTTTATTGATTTCAGCCCTCAATTTGATTATTTCCTGGCGTCTACTCCTCCTGGGGGAGTGTGCTTCTTTGTGTTCTAGAGCTTTCAGCTGTGATGTTAATTCTCTGGTATAACTGTTCTCCTGTTTCTTCATGTGAGCATTTAGCGCTATGAACTTCCCCGTAGCACTGCTTTCAAAGTGTCCCATAGGTTTGGGTATGTTGTGTCTTCATTCTCATTGAATTCGAGGAAGTCTTTAATTTTTTTTATTTCCTCTTTGACCCAGGGATGGTGCAGTTGAGCATTATTCAATTTCCATGAGTTTGTAGGTTTTCTGCAATTTGTGTTGTTGAATTCTAATTTTAAAGCATGGTGGTCTGATAAGATGCATGGAGTTATTCCAATTTTTTTGTAGCTGCTGAGTTTTGATATGTTGCCAAGTATGTGGTCGATTTTTGAGAAGGTTCCATGTGGTGGTGAGAAGAAGGTATATTCTTTTTTATGTGGATGAAATGTTCTATAGATATCTGTTAATCCCAGTTGGTTCATTACTTCTATTAGCCCTTTTGCTTCTTTGTTGAGTTTCTGTTTGGTATTCCTGTCTAGTGGTGAGAGTGGTGTGTTGAAATCTCCCACTATAACTGTGTGGGGCTTTAGATGAGATTTAAGTTCTAATAATGTTTCTTTAACGAATGTGGATGCCTTTGTATTTGGGGCATAGATGTTCAGAATAGACACTTCCTCTTGGTGGGTTTCACCTGTGATGAGTATGTAATGACCTCCTTCATCTCTTTTGATTGATTTTATTTTAAAGTCTAGTTTGTTAGATATTAGGATTGCTACCCTGGCTTGTTTCTTGGGTCCATTCGATTGAAAAATTTTTCCCAACCTTTAATTCTCAGGTAATGTCTGTCTTTAAGGGTGAGGTGTGTTTCCTGTATGCAGCAGAAGGAAGGGTTCTGTCTTCGAATCCAATCTGCTAGTCTGTGTCTTTTTATGGGTGAGTTAAGGCCATTAATATTGAGGGATATTAATGACCAATGATTGCTCATCCTTCTTCGATTTGCGATGGTTGTTGTTGGTGGAATTATGTGTGGAATTTCACCCCTTTGTTCTTTTGGCTGTTGGTAGAGAGAGATTCTCTAATGCTTATGTTTTTCTGGTTGTAGTTAGCTTCCTTGGGTTGGAGTTTTCCTTCCAAAATTTTCTGTAGGGCTGGGTTAGTGGACACATATTGCTTGAATCTAGTTTTGTCATGGAATATCTTGTTTTCTCGGTCTATAGTGATTGAGAGCTTTGCCGGGTATAGTAGTCTGGGCTGGCAACCGTGGTCTCTTAGTGTAGGTAGAATATCTATCCAGGACCTTCTGGCTTTCAGCGTTTCCATGGAGAAATCAGGTGTAATTCTGATAGGTCTGCCTTTATATGTTACTTGACCTTTTTCCTTAGCTGCTCTTAATATTCTTTCTTTATTCTGTATGTTTGGGGTCTTGATTATTATGTGGCGAGGGATTTTTTTTGTGGTCCACTCTATTTGGTGTTCTGTAGGCTTCTTGTACCTTCATTGGCATGTCTTTCTTAAGGTTGGGAAAGTTTTCTTCTATGATTTTGTTGAATATGCCTTCTGCCCCTTTGAGCTGGATTTCTTCTCCTTCTTCTATACCTATTATTCTTAGGTTTGGTCTTTTCATGGTGTCCCATATTTCCTGGATGTTTTGTGTTAAGGATTTGTTGGATTTAAGGTTTTCTTTGGTTGATAAATCCATTTCTCCTAGCGTATCTTCAACACTTGAGATTCTCTCTTCCATCTCTTCTATTCTGTTGGTAATGCTTGTATTGGTAGTGCCTGTCTGTTTGTCCAGCTTTTCTATTTTCTGCCTTTCTTCAGATTGTGTTTTTTTTAAGACTCTATTTCAGTTTTCAACCCTTGCAGTGTTTGCATTGCTTCTTGCAATTTTCTGTTTATCTGTTCGTCCGTTTGTTGCCTTTTATGAATTTTTTGGTTTGTTCTTTCTTCCATTTCTTGCATTTTTTGGTTTGTTTTTTGTTCCATTTCTCGCATTTTGTGCTTTGTTTCTTCTTCCATTTCCTGCCTTTTTTGGTTTGTTTCTTCTTCCATTTTTTTCATTTTTTGCTTTGTTTTTTCTACCATTTCTTGCATTTTTTGCTTTGTTTCTTCTTCCATTTCCTGCCTTTTTTGGTATGATTCTTCTTCCAATTCTTGCAATTTTTGCTTTGTTTTTTCTTCCATTTTTTGCATTTTTTGCTTCATTTCTTCTTCCATTTTCTGCCTTTTTTGGTTTGTTTTTTCTTCCAATTCTTGCATTTTTTGGTTTGTTTTTTCTTCCATTTCTTTGAGGGATTTTCCAATATCCTCTTTTAGGGCCTCTATCATTTTCATGAAAGTGCTTTTAAGGTCGTTCTCTTCTGCTTCGTCTGCATTGGAATGTTGGGGTCTTGCTGGTGTGGAGTCTCTAGAATCTGGCGGTGTCATATTTGTTTTTCTGTTGCTGACTGTGTTTTTGTATTGTCTCTTTCCCATCTCTTCTTCTAGTGGGTACAGAAAGAGCCCCTTACTGGTCTGGGGACCAGTGTTCCCTTTTGGTGGGTGCTAGCAAGTCCAATAATCTGGTGGTTCTTCTATTCCTTGTCCGAATGCTGGTCCCGTGGGTGGAGAAGAAGAACAGGAATCTGGGGCGCTTATCCTCTTACCTGGTCCCCTGGACCCTATGCTGGGTCCTGTTGTACTTGATCCAGAACAGCTACTCCCCTAGTCTCCCTGGGTCCTCTGGTTTCCTGGTCTCGTTGGTGGGAGAGAAGACCTGGGGTCTGGGTGCTTGGCTCCCGCCTGGATTGGGAGCTCTGTGCAGTTCCCAGGGGATCTGCAGGCACTGGAGCACAGGCCGGGAAGCCGGCCTGTTTACCTGATGCTGCTGGAAGAACCGCCGCTTCGCTCTTGGAGTTTTGTTTTTGTAAGCAAAATTATTATACCTATTTTCTTGGGGTTTTTTTGGTGTTCTTGTTTTGTTTTGTAGTGCTGAGAATAAGCTGAGGACTTTCCATATGCTGGGCAAATTCCCCACCACTATATTTCTGACAACATGCCAGGTTTTCATTGTAATTCTTGTTCTTACTGTTTGGTTCGACCAATGAGGAGTAGAAATGATTAAATAATAATCCAACAAATAAACACTTGAGTCTGTAAATTTTCTGCTGAATTTTCTGGTTGTCTAGGACTTATTCATTCCCTCATTCCACAGCATTGTTGATCAGGAGATGCTTCTTTTGAGTGCTAAATGTTGTGAGTACGTTGTCCTGGCATTAGGGAGCTCTCAGTCTTATGGAAACTGTCAGCACTATTGACATTTTCTTTCGTGGGAAAAATACAATTTCATCAACTTAGACCAATCTGCCTTTAGGAGAAAAGGCATATAACTGTCATTTTAAATGTCCAAGGATGCTGTTGAATAGACATATGAAAACGGGGATCTGCTCTCCAAGCTGCCCCTAATTGCAAGCATTGTGTGTACCTCAGGGCTGGGATCCAGCTGGCTGAAGTACAGAAACCTTCATTGTTTTACAGTACTAAATAGAACTGGTATAATTATGCCCCGCCATAATGTGGGGTTTCTTGATCATTGTCTAAATGGCTTGCTAGACACAGGCCAGATACAAACCACCAACACAGGCCCTCTCCATCCTCTCTTGTTGCTCCTGGATCTCCTCTCTAGAACAATAGGACTTCAGAAGCGGGAATGTTTGCAGGACTCTGAGAGCCTCAAGTTCTCAAGATCAGGCAACAGAGTAAAACTCTTTTAGTCATTAGATAGTAACATACCCTGACAGGGTGTTCCCCATTTTTGAGCAAATTAAACTGTTATGGGCATGGGACACTTGTCCATGTAAGTTCCTCCCCCAATTCTGAATCATCAGTCCAGGAGACTCATTCTCCTGGAGCAAAGCTTTAGAAGCACTGAGATGACATCATATCCCAGCTATACAACGCTGGGTTACTTAGTTTCTTGGGAGCCTTCAGGTTTCAGAAAGGAAGAACATTGTTGTCACCCTTGTTCATCCCATGTTTGGGCAGTCCTGTTGGGGAGACTGTATTGGTGTAGCTTCTGCTATTACTAGGAGATAGGATCCCACCGCAAACTCCCTGTTCTTTGGGTTCTTACAAATTTTTTACCTCCTCTTCCAAAATGTCCCCTGAGCTTTAGGTATGGGAGGGTTTTGTGGATGTATCCAATGGGATAGGGCTCCACAATTTTGTATTTTGACTGGTTGTGATTTTCTGTAATGGTCTTTATCTGTTGCAAAGGGAAGTTTCTTTGACGAGAGATGAAGACTACACTTACTGTGTGTACAGGGATGAATACTTGCAGCTTGTTGTTAGGGGTTATGCTGGTATAGTAAATAAGTGGTTGTAGATTTTCCTCTAAGAGCCATGATTTCACTAGGGGGGGGGAAGGGGAGGGGGAAGGGGAGAGAGGGAGGGGAGGAGAGGAGATTCACACACTCTCTGAGTTCCTTTTATTGAGAAGAGACAAGTTTTGCTTTTCTGGTTTGATGTAAAGGGCAGAGCAGGGATTCCTGGGAGTGTCAGGCTCCTACAATCTTTCTTCCCCTTCTTACTCAAATATCCCTGAGCCTTGAGGAGAGAGGTGCTAGATGTAGGACCTGTTGAGGGCCAAGTACTTCACAGCCTCTCATTCTCTATGCAGTCACCAGGGGAGGCTCTCTGTGTTAATTACCACCTGTGATTTACTTATTGTTTTCTTGTCCCACAGATTTAACATGTACAAAGGACAGGCTCTCAGCCAGCTTCTGCCAAACACTAAAATCCATGAAGAAATGCTCTGTGTCCTCCGTGAGAGCACAGTGCTGTCTCTCATGTCCACAGACACAGAGCACCCACATCCAAAGGCAAAGAAAACAGCAGTTGCTCCCAAATCACGACACCCTCTAGGTTCAGGAAGAAGCCACCATCATCGACCTCCACAGCCTGCTGCCCAAGAACACCGCCCAGAAGGCCACTTCATTAATATTTCACTTTACACATTCTAGGTTCAACTTGGGATCATAACAAAACAAAATGCAGTGTTTGTCTAGCCACAAAATGTTCCTCACAGAAAGCTTGGTGCTGGCAACTCCCTCATAAGAAGACAAAGTATTTGAGAGAATTAGGAAGCAACTGAGATGAGTTCCTGGGGAAAGTTCTAGATTAGGCAAGTTTTCCCCTTTAATGATAAAAAAAAAAATAGAGAACAGGGTTTTTTTGTTTTGTTTTGTTTTGTTTTGTTTCCAAACTACCTCAAGAGTGTCAAGAAACAGCCACACTTACCCAGGGAACATATAATCTTTTTAATTTGTCTTCATGAATCTATCCTCCTTGGCTGCCTTGGGTAAGCCACTGGGGTAATTCTGAGGAACATTTATTCAGTAGACAATAAGGACAGGAAGAGAATGCTAGCTGGCCCTCAGTCTTCCTTCCATCCCTGCAGGAATTCACAAGTGGAAGTCTCAAATCTTAGGACAGACCATGGAGAATCGAGATTAAGGACACACAGACATCAATGGGGCCCAGGGGAATTAGGCCAGTGATTCAGAATTCATCTCTGACTTCAGTTCAGTTTCTATTAATAGTCCTAAATATGCAAATGAACACAAGTCAACTTGTTGCTAGCCTTTGTTCTTTGAATTTTCCTGGCTTTGTGAGTTCCTCCACAGAACAAATGACTCTCTCCTGTCCTGCCTCTATTCGGGTAACAACCTCAGGTCCTACCATCAACCCAGTGCAGAAGGATTTTACACAAAAACTGCTATGACTAGGGTGATGGCTACCAACTCACCCTATCTCTCCTGAGAGAAAACGTGAAGGGATAAGTTAAACCATTTTAAAGAATTAAGTAAATTGTACCAAGGCTAGGAATTTAATGAAAATGTATAGTTTAGATAGAAGGAAAAGAATTCTAAAAAGTGAGAGAGATGATCTACTTAGTGTACCCATTAATGACTCTTAAAAGTCCTTTGCCTCTAAAGATATAGAGTTGGGGTAGAATGCATATTTAGCACATGCAAGGCTGTAGATTTGATCTCTAGCAACACATATGCATACATACAATCATACACACAGAATCAAAAACAAAAGCTAAGTTACCTTGTCAAGTTACCCTACAAGTCAAGAGGGTCCAGAATCCTGAAATAGAAAGCTTACTCCAGTCATTGCCTCCAATGAAGGCAGGGTAGGCTGTGATTACCAAGGTGAACCTATGGACTGAACCTAGACAGAAAGGATGGGTTTGAGGAAAGATAGAAGCCCCGGAGAAAGACCTCAGAACCAGCTCTTGGCAGGATGGGAGGCAATGTGTTCCTCCATGTGATGGATCACATAGTTGTAGGCTTATGCACCAAAATACATCATCATCTTTCTGGAGTACAGTATTCCACTGTAGTTATCTATCCATTCAGAAGAACGGTGCTATTGAACCTGGTGCTAATACCTAGATGGTGGCAGAACTAACAGAAACATTAGCTAGTAGTTATATGACTGGCTAAGTATACGTGAGCTTCCAGATAGACATCTTCTGCTTTTTGTGAAATGGTGTTGCTGGCCAATGCCAGTTTTATTTGCTATGACCATGAATGCAGCATTATATATTATGTGCTTTTAAACTCTTTTTTTTTTGGCTTTTTGAGAGAGGGTTTCTCTGAGTAGTCATGGCTGTCCTGGAACTCACTCTGTAGACAGACTGGCCTCCAACTCACAGAGATCTGCCTGTCTCTGCCTCCCAAATGCTGAGATTTAAAGGCTTGCACCACCACTGACCAATACTTTTATTAAACTCTTTTCAAGCCACTAGTGTTCATTAAATTCCTGTGGAAAACAAAACACTGAGTTTTGGATAAAATTCAAGGTATACCAGAAATAGGAGAAAGCATCTGTTTGCTGAAGCCAGGGAATTTATGTGTAGTTAAGCCTAGTTTCTTGCATTCTGCCTTTAAATATAAACATTGCAGGTCAATGACAAACTCTGGTAAAATAGCAATTTCAGAGAAATACTTACATTTTTCTGTGAGTGGCATGAATTTCAGGAGAACCTTAAAGGAGAAAGACTAGTAGTCTAGGCTTTCAGAAGGATTCATTTAGTAAGCCATGTGAATTTAACTTAGCCTGGCACTGTTCTAGCACAAGGTAAAGTACATGACATCGGAGTCCTGTGTGTGACCAGGCTTAGAAAACTCAGGAACAAACCTGGATTCCTACTGACCTCAGCAAAATAAATAGGCCAGATTTCCCAATGCAAAAAATAAACCATGTCATTTGTTGCCCATGGGGTGGAGAATATCAAAGGCCCATGGAGAAAGTCTGGCCAGGTACTTTCCTCTGATCATGCATCATGGCCATCACTTTCTTCTACCATAGTGAGACTGTCCTATGACATGTGTCATTTGTGCTTGCTGTTGGAGTCACCAGTCATCTGCTCAGCTATGGGTTATCAGAACACCATAGATCCTTGGTGCTTGAGATGCTAGAAGAACCTTGAATGTGAGGATGACTCTGGCAGCAAGAACTGGGTAGTATCTTCACAAGGTCAAATATGAAGCCATGTTTTCTTTCACCCATGTCCTCCTTCACCTTGAAAGTGTGAGACACTGGATAATACACTTACCAAGAACCAGTGAGGTCTATCACAGGGCCCTGTGCTTAAATGCATCATGTTGGGTTTACATTGCTTTTCAGAGTAGTAGACTTAGCTCGTCTCCAAAAAGTCATAGGCTATTTAATTCTTGAACATCAAAACAGTACTATTCCATAAGAGAACAACTTTCCTGGAAACTTCATAATGAATACTTTGTTATGAATCATATCCTGTAATAAAGGATTGTTTTCTTGTGTAGGACTAACCGTTCAGGCATAGGTTTTCTTAAGAGCACACATAGCCCTTCCTGTTCTACTGAGACAGCTGTGTCTCCACTGGTATTCCAACACATTGTTTTCAGAGAGTCTATTTTTAACCAGCTCCATCAATAATCTGAAATGTAATTTGAGTATTTCAGGTCCTAACTTCCCATCTAGCTAGCTGAAGTTCTCTGAAAGCTTCATATTGTAAACCAAGAGAGTATAAGTCTTCGCTTTCTCCTTTTTCACTTCAAGATAAAGCTCTGGGACTGCCTGTCTGGTGCTCAACCCACAGTCATCTGCTTTTCCAGGGAAAGGCCATATGTCCTGAGCTTCCTGGTGCTATAACCTAGCCAATATATTTGATATGCTCTTGTGCTAATTCAAATATCTTTTTTAAATTTACATATTTTTATTTTGCTATGTCACTAAAAATGATGTGGTGAGGGAAATGTCTTTCTACCTATCATTGCCCTCACAAATGGTGGTATGACATACATAGCTAACTCATTGTCTTCTCTGTGTCCCTATGCTCCCTCACCAGCTGATCCCCCCTACTCTTTATGTATCAGATGAGTACCTCGGTATTAAAATCAGTTTGTAATCATAGCTTGTCATTGTGTGGCATCAATAATTGGCCAAATTCATTGATGTTTCCTTGTGATTCATTTACTCCTACTGTGAAGCTTTCACCACCCACCACAGTGTTACCATGGAGCTTAGCAATGGAAGAAGTTGTTATCAATTTCTCCCTTCTACACTCCCACATTCCCTCCTCCCCAACCCTAGACAAGTGCCCAATGAATCATACCCCAGGTGAGTAGAAATAAAGTGAGTGGAAATTAACTCATAAATATGCAGTGTTTTAGTTAGGGTTTTATTGCTGTGAAGAGACCTGGCAACTCTTAAAAAGGAAAACATTTAATTGGGGCTGGCTTAGAGTTCAGAGGTTTAGCCATTTGTGGCCATGGTGGGAAGCATGGGAGTATGCAGACAGAAATGGTACTGGAGAGGTAGCTAAGAGTTCTGCTTCTGGATGAGCAGGCAGAAGAGAGAGAGAGAGAGAGAGAGAGAGAGAGAGAGAGAGAGAGAGAGAGAGACAGAGACAGAGAGACAGACAGAGACAGAGACAGAGACAGAGAGACAGAGAGACAGAGACAGAGAGGGGGGTGGGGGTAGAGACTGGGCCTAGCATGACCATCTGAAACATATGGGACTATGTTTCAGATGTTCATGCTAGGGACTATGGGGGCTATTTTCATTCAAACCACCACATAAAACAACTGAAAAAAAAACATGAACATCTGAAGTGATGCCTACGTACCTCACAATACTGAATCTGGTGTAGTCAGACCATCAGCTTTATCATGACTTCCTCTCTTGATACCCTAAGTGTAGACATGATGCTTACAGGAAAGTAAGTCCCCTCTAGGAGAGTTTGCATGAGGAAGCCTATCTTTTCTCAAAGACAGTGCAGAGCTAAGTCCAGGCAGCAAAGGGGAAATCTGTTGATATGGAGAAGGAAACAATATAAGCAAAAGCATTGCAAAGGAGCCAGCGAGACTGGGCAGCTGACATCTAGAATTTTTGAGGATGTACTTAGGGCGGTAGGAATTATGAGTTTGGTCAATGCTGTATCAAAGAGAGCTAGGGACACCTTCCTGCTTGTACTTTAAACCTATTCTATGACCACCAGGGAACTCTATCTCACCCTTCACAATTCTGGTCAAATGTCTCTGACCTAGGAAGTCCACCCTGGTCCTGCTAGAAAGACTAAGGCAGACTTCTGCCCCAGCTGTGTCCTGCACATTCTGCACATTTTACACTATTAATCAGGAGAGATTTTGTTCCCTGGGAGACATGTAGCAATGTCTGGAATGTCTTAGGTCTCAACAAGTGGGAGTAGAGAAATTCTGACCATCATCTAATCAATGGAGGTCAACCATGCTGCTGGGCATTCTACAGGATGGCTACCTCCCTTTTTGTCTGATTCAAAATGTTAATTGTTCTGATGTTGGAAAAGATATATGCTAAAGCAATTATCACCTTGGAATAGTAACAGGGCATGGAGTTAAATAAAATGAGCTTACTATAAAATTTAGAACCCCTGGAAAGGATTGCTAAAATAGATCAAAAGAAACTGCATATCATATGGACTCAAAGTACATTTGACTGATGGAAAGCATATGGGAATCACAAATTGAAATCAGAGGTTTATATGCAAAAACAAAAATGAAATAGGACAGGAAGTTGGGAAGGTCCAGAAGTATGAAGTAGGTCTGGGTGGAGTTAAGGGAGAGAAATCGAAAATAAATATAATCAAAATCCATTGTGTGTATGTTTGAAATTCTAAAAAAAACATTAAAAACATTATTTTTAAAAGAAAAAAACCATCTTGACATTGCAGGGGAACTGTGATAATGAGTGAGCCTTAAACCTCTGTTGGGGACTGGATACCTCCTTACAAGTTGTCGATCAGGGCATCATCTCCAGAGGTCTCCAAAACAACACAGGCTATTGCCATTAACCCTGATTTTCCACCATTACTAAATGGTAAGGTCTTGTTGCTGAAGAAACCACATACTTTGACTACAGGACACAGAGAGATCATTCTCTAATTGACTGGGAAACTTCCTCCCTAATGGCTGGCTTTCATAGGGTAGTAAGGCATGAGACAGGCTGCTGGATGTGACACTGACACCGAGGCAACTTCGAGGAGAGTTTGTTTTGGCTTACGGTTCCAGACGTTAGAATCCACAGTGTTGGGCAGCACGGCAGCAGACTGCGGCATGATGGCAGAAACAGGCAGCTGAGAAGTCTACCGTTGTCCCCTGCTGGCCCTTCTCTATTACATACTTTCCTAATACAGCTCCTTCACGATGTTCTCTGTTAGAGAATGGAGTTTTTCCTGGTATAGGTGACAGAGATTTGATGGCTTGTGATTTGCTTTTTGCACTTTAGATCTCACTGTGTAACACCATTTTAGGGCTAAGCCATAGGCAGAGTTTCTAGTAAAAAGAGTGAATCTTCTAGTTTGAACGCGTGCAGCCAGTTGTTGAGTGTTCTTCAGACTAGGGCTCCAAAGGTGTAATCCCAGCTCCTTAACAGGCTGATTTGTGCTCAGAAAACCTATGATCCACCCACTACTGCTGAATTACAAACTACTCCCTGGTATATTGCTGTAAGAGCTACTACTTTATGGCAACATGTATTCTGTGGAGCAGGACGTCAGAGTACAGAATGGCAGCTATTTCTCCTCCATGATACTGAAAATGGTAAAGGCTCTTGATATAGATCATTTCACCAAAGTTAGGGGTGTCGGCAGGTACACATTCCCAACGCCAGATCTATGGAGCCTAAGGCAGGAAATCCCCAAGAGTTTCAATCAAGTCTAGACCACAGTGTGAAAAGAACAAACAAATATCTACATTCCAACCTCTGCATTGCTCATTATAATCAAACTCCAGCATGGTTTCTAGTAGCCAAAGGCAGTATGGTGACACACCCCTTTGCACCCAAATTACTGTGTGGCAGAGCTCAAGGTTGCTAGAGACTTCACTACTTGTTCTAAAGAACAGTTAGCATAGATCCATGGCCCTTTTCTTAAAACATTTACTAAAATCTTAAACTATAAGTTCTTTCATTTTGCCTTTGGGAACCAATCTCCTACAGCTCAGGAGTCCCAAGGGCCCAGTGACATTTCTTTTAAATATAACTACCTGGAGGGATAGTGCTCACATCCTCCAGTGCCTGTAAGAGAGCACAAATCTGGCTTTGATAAATGCCAACCAGCAAGTACACACAGCAATTTATAGGGATCACCCCTTCACCTGCTTCTTCTAATTTCTTAATTCTTGCAAGTTTCCACATATCCATCTCTCCCTGCTACCTCACTTCCCCTCCTTAAAACATCCAGTAAGTTCTACACAAAAGCAGAGCTAAATGTGATTACAATGAGTCTCTCCCTTGTTGCCTTTAAAAACTGTTTTTAATTCTTTGGGAACAGCTTTGTTTTTAATAATGTCTAATTTTCTGGGAAACTGTAGTGGTTTGAGCTCCTGCCAGTTGGAATCATCTGTAGGTCCTCTTATCAAGCTGGATCATCCATGGTTTCTACACAGGGTCTCTCTCTGTCTCTGTCTCTGTCTCTCTCTGTGTCTCTGTATCTCTCCCCCCTCTCTTGTTTTGTTTTTTTGAGACAGGTTTCTCTGTATTGCTTTGGAGGTTGTCCTGAAATTCTCTCTGTAGACCAGGCTGGCCTCGAACTCACAGAGATCCACCTGCCTCTGCCTCCCAAGTGCTGGGATTAAAGGCATGAGTCACCAGCTCCCCACAATGGGGTCTTTTCTGTTTAGTTTCATATAGACCTTCAGCGAATTACCTAGTACCAAATGGCAACTATCATAGTCCTAGTCTTGCTTGCAAACCTGGATCTGACTATTATTCTGCAACCAGGTGGCCACCTTGAAGAGATAAGCTATTCTGCTACAACCAAAACTGGCATTCCTCATTTCCAATCAGCATCCAATCTCAAGATGAAAAGAAGCCCTTGTGAAAAAGAATTAGAGTGGCAAACAATGGCAGAGCTGATCACCTAATGAGCAGAAACACCTCTCTCCAATTTGGTGGGGATAGCTGTCAATCAACTCAATAGCTGAAGCTGTGGGGAAAACAGAGGCTACATAGCATGACAATTTGTCCTCAGTTGATTGTCTTGCATCTGTTTTAGATTACAGACAATAGATGAACTAATGAATCGAATATTAAATTAGTTCCCCTTAGCTTGTGTGGATTGGGACATGGATGTGTTACATAGCCCCAGAAGCCAGTAGCCCTTTTATTGAAATACTTTGAGAACTACTGATGAACATAAATTAAGAAAATGCTCTTGCATTTGTCTGGTGGTGGCTTCAATGGGCACTGAACTTCAGAGAAGGAGGGGGCCTGAAGATGACAAGCATATTAATACTTCTCTCTCCAATTTGTGTGTGTGTGTGTGTGTGTGTGTGTATTTTGATGGTACTGAGAATCATCAAACATAGAGTCTTACACAGGCTAAGCACATATTCCAATACTATGTTTGAGTACTATGCTACAAACATTGCCGCCTCTCCCACTTAAGGGAGACTAACTCTGAAATAAAGAAGGGTTACCTTTAAACCAAATCCTCAGATTCCTGGGAGCAGAGGAATCTGAACTGAAGCTGATATAACTGTATGCCTCCCTGGTGAGAATTTTATTTCCTTAGATAAATATCAAATTAAAACCCTGCTATTAATTCATGCCATGTAGTCCTATGCTTGTATTTATGTATTTTCATAACACAACTCCAAGATCCAGCTTCACAGAAAGATCATTTGGTAAATTATTCCTTGGGCAGCTGATATCTCAAGTAGAAGCAGATATTAATTGTAGTCAAGTAAGTAAAGATAGAACTTGAAGGAAGGAAAGCAATGTTTATAATGGACTAGGGCAGACAAAAGGAAAAGGTAAAAGTGAGAATGCAGAGATCATGCTAAGTGATAAAAGATGAACCTACTGTGATGGAGGATGTGGCTGTAGAAATGGTATAGTAGTGACTGTGTTAAGAGATAGAAATGGTATAGTAG